CCTTGCAGTGTCGTGTATCACCTTGCAGTGTCGTGTATCACCTTGCAGTGTCGTATATCACCTTGCAGTGTCGTGTATCACCTTGCAGTGTCGTGTATCACCTTGCAGTGTCGTGTATCACCTTGCAGTGTCGTGTATCACCTTGCAGTGTCGTGTATCACCTTGCAGTGTCGTGTATCACCTTGCAGTGTCGTGTATCACCTTGCAGTGTCGTGTATCACCTTGCAGTGTCGTGTATCACCTTGCAGTGTCGTGTATAACCTTGCAGTGTCGTATATCACCTTGCAGTGTCGTGTATCACCTTGCAGTGTCGTGTATCACCTTGCAGTGTCGTGTATCACCTTGCAGTGTCGTGTATCACCTTGCAGTGTCGTGTATCACCTTGCAGTGTCGTGTATCACCTTGCAGTGTCGTATATCACCTTGCAGTGTCGTATATCACCTTGCAGTGTCGTGTATCACCTTGCAGTGTCGTGTATCACCTTGCAGTGTCGTGTATCACCTTGCAGTGTCGTGCTAGACAACAATATATCAAAAAATATGAGGAAACTATCCCCTTGAAAATGCATTAAACTTGACAACATATGAGAAAAACTTCATGCTTGATATAAATATAAGATAAACCTAATATATTCTCCTCGGCAACTAAAGACAGGCAGCTCAAACAAAAATATTATATATATTGCAAAAATCAATCTAGCACGCAAGTGAGTTAATTCTCTAATGAAATTATTTGAGAATTTATCATTTTATACTTGTAGATAATAGCAATGTTGGTAATTGAGTTCTTTTTTTAAATTTTGGAAAGCTATTTGATTGCATTGTCTTCTTAATTATTGTTATTCTTGTTTTGTTGACATCAACTCCAAACATATTAAAGGCATAGCTATGTACTTACAGCGTTGGGCTTGTTTTATGCATGGAATTCAGCAAGAGTACCATTTTCCTGATTATATATATATATATATATATATATATATATATATATATATATATATATATATATATATATATACATATGGAGAGAGAGAGAGAGATCGCAGTCAGCAGGACTCGATACTGCTAATGAGACGGTCAAAATTCCCCGGCAGTTATCTTATCATCTCTGCCACAAATGCCACATAAGCTGGGTCCTTATAGTCGTGGATCCCCTAGTTGTGTGGGTCAGATAATAGTAAACACTAGAGCGGTTCACGCTGAACCAAGATTCTGAGATTAACTTGGGTTTAATTCGTCTTGAATTTGTTTTGGATTGGTCATTGCTGATCTAATGTCTGGAAATAGTTTTCAAATGAAATTTTGTTCTAACAAAACTAACATTTTTTGTGGGGCAACAGGTTAATGGTTCACCTGAGTGCATACATGGGTCCTTAAGTGTTAGGTGTTGTCTGGTTTCTATTACAACCCAGGAACAAAAAGGCCAGTTATCCTGGGATAAGGGAGCAAAATAAACAGCCCAAAACGTTCACTTATATTATCCTTCACCAAGTATAAACAGCAGTATGTACACTATATACACTATGTACAGCAATAGGTATTAGTGCACGACACGGCAATTAAGGCAGAATTGATGACTATAGAATGCAGACCACCGTGCTTCAACAGCTCTCAAATGGAAATGACAAGGGTGAAAACGTGAGTGGTAACCACGACACCTCCACAATTGCCAGATCCACTTTCTCATTGGCTGAACCTAGATACTGATTTGACGATGGGGCTCCATCGTCCGACCCTTAGCATCTGGTTCGCTGGTTGGGGAGGTAGCCTTTTAATGAGGGTGTGTATATGCGCTGAATAAAGGTTACGTACTCTTTGCATTCCAGTTTCTAACATCAAAACAAGAGTCCAGTTCATTAGGCATATATTTTTTTATATCTTATTTTCTGTGTGTGCTGAGGCATTTGCTCATTAATGCCCTAGGTCTGTTTTATTTTACCAAGGATGAGTTGGGTTCAATTTCTTGCTACCAAATTGCTTCCATATTTCATTTGGTTTCAGAGTTTTCATCTTTCACTGTCATGGAATTGGAGGATTCCCACCAGGGTATGTATTGTAGTGATATATTGCTGCACCATGCAGTGTTTTATTTTTTATTTTTGAGGGGGGGGGGGCAATTTATATTCGTTTTATGGCTTAGTCAGCTCTTGGTTCAGTTTTATACAGGGCCAGGACGCGTCACCTACCTTGGATCCAAACGCCTACCCGTTTCGTGATTTATTTTTTTTTATTTATTTTTGCATTCGTATTTGGTATTATTATGTTAATGGATATTATTAATTAATCATGTTAATCGGTGTTATCATATGTGTGGTGTCTTATAGTCCTCTCATCTAACTGAAGCCTCTCAGGCTTCTTCTGTTACATTGGCTACGTCTCAGGCTGGTAATCACCCGACAGGTAGGTGTCACAAGCATTCAACGAGTCATCTTTCAAGACATTCCGGGCTGAAAGTGGCATGGTGCTGGGTACAGGGATAACGGTAAACGCGGGAATTGTAAGTAGGGAAAGTAATAAGTTCTCTGCCTAGGCGCTATCAGGCCACAGCTGAAAGAATAGTTTGCTTAGTTTTTGAGTTATGGGATGGTACTTGTTATGTGAACATCATTTTTCCCGCAAGTGCCCCCATAGGATGAGGGGCGTTTACATTTCTTAGAAGAGTCTTCCGAACGTTAATAGTGACTTTCGGTGTATGCTTGAGGCGGTGCAAGGTATACTTGTGCTCTGACCAAGGAATCGTTCATGATTCAGTATCTCTTCGCTATGAAATGTGTTGTGACTAAGGTGTCCTCTGGGTTTTTGGGGAAATCTTTCTGCCATGTGCTTCTATGAATTATTTTCTAATCAGTTTCCACAGGTGGAAAGCTGTGAATTGCTGTGACAATTTCCTTAGGATCCCTTCTTGTTAGTTTTGAGCTTATTAATTTTATTATAGATGTTATTTACTCTAGCTAGAGCTTGTTCTACTATGGTGCCCCATGGCCTGGGTCCGGGTTCGATTATATGCAAAGGTAGAAACACTGGGCGTGCTTCCTTACACCGGTTGTCCATGTTCACCCATCAGCAAAGTAGGTACCTGGGTATGAGTCGCATCCTGGAGCAAAACTGATCTAATCTGCTGGAAATGCTCAGCATAACAAGCGGTTTTCTATACAGTAGTATGTCATTGATGTCAGCTAGGATTGTATACCTTGTACATGTACTTGTAGAAATAAAAATTATATTATTATTCCTTATAGGTAGCTGCGTACTTGAAAGTGTTCACTTAGTTCCCTGAAACTTGCTAGAGATTAGTTCCCTTACTGAGTCTCGCTTGAGGTAAAAATCACAGTGAGAGGATGAAAGGTTTTATTGGCTTATTTATAGAAAATTTGGGGCTCGTTAAGATATCTTCAACAGCTTTCAGTAACACGGTCTCTGGGAAGGCTATAACTTTTCCATTTTCTTCCATTATGAATTAAAATGCTGGATGGACTGTATTAGTCCATTTATGGAGTTCTATTGCTTGAGTATGGGTACTTCAAGGTTTGTGAATTGTGTCATCGGCGTATATTCCATAAAATACAGGCTTTGTGCTTGCTACTTTAAGTGCTACATGGATAAATAGCCCTGCCATTACTACATCGACACTCTCGCTGATGGCTGTTTCTTTCCTTTGTGGGACAGATGGATAGAGAGATTCAGTATCTAAGGATAGAGCTTGGTGTCGTTTAAATCAAAATGCTTCGATTTTGTTGAGCAAATCTATTGTGCCTTAGTTTTATTCTGGTTTAGGGTTTAGCAGTGGAATTCGTAAGACTGTATCTTCGTAATGGTTCTCTTTGGTGCCTGACATCCTGACAATACTGATACTGCTTTCCACGTCCCTAATTTGCTATTTTTGGTATTATGGGTTATTGGTAAGAACATATGTAGGATTTTTGCCTGGTGTAGCGGGAGGCAGTTACAAGTGCATTCAAAACTCTCGCCTCTGTTCTCCTTTATATATTATTATTTTAGAGTTTTCAGATTAAATTCTAGGATAAGTTTCATATCCCCTGCCAAGTTATTTTTTTGGGGGGTTATTAGCGACAGGTTCATAGTTTCCAGAGGTCATTCATTTGCATTATCACCTTTTTTTTTTTTTAGTTTTCTTGTTTGCTAACTTCTGTACTAACACTTTCCTTTTTATGTTCATTTAATGGTAACTTCTATTTTTGTTGAGCTGTTTCTTTAACTTGTGAACCATTTCTCTTCTAACAGTTTGGAGAGGTTACCCCCAGACTCTCATTTTACACCCTGGTATGTGTATCAGCTTTCTTTTTCTGCGGGAGTTATGACGTTTTCTGAAATCACCAGTTCCTGTAGTATCAATAAAAAAAATCCACTTTTTGCTATTGTTGCTGATATTTTACATTCTACATATTTCATTCCTTAAATAAATAAACACACACACACACACACACACAACACACACACACACAACACCACCACACACACACACACACACACACACACACACACACACTAAGATCACAATAAACAGGTGATATCACAATATACAGAACAGCCACTGTGAAAAAATAGCGAAATTCCAAGCGCATTCGTTTTTTCTCGCATTATCAAGGAACAGTTCCTTGATAATGTGAGAAATCACGAAAGCGCTTGAAAGTTTACTGTTCGTTTGCACAGTGGTTGTTCTGCATATTGTGATATCACCTGTTCACTGTGATCTATTTGCATTTATATATATGCCAGCCAATATGTTCGAATATCCGTCACTTCAAACAAGTATTTACATATCTCTTAGAGCATACGCAGTATATATAGTCTTTTTTGTACACCCTTCACAGTGTATGTGCGCGTCCTACTTGGTATGCATAATTATTCAATATGTGCGCGTCATTCATTGTATGTGTACACCTTTGTATATACTTGTATGCGCCCCTGTGCGCATGTGCAACCTTGTACACAGTGTTTTGAGATGGATGAGTGACCTGTGTTGTGTTTCTATGTCCCTAACAGTTGCACCGTTGGTGGAGGCTCGCTTGGCACCTGCCCTCGACCCTGGCAACATTAAGGAAGGAGAGGATGTCTACTTCGAGTGCCACATCAGTGCCAATCCTCCAGAATCTAGAGTCATATGGTTACACAAGGTACGTTGATTTTTTTTTCTTCCGCTGCTTGAGTTATTAACTCACTGTTGCTTGAGAGCAGTGATTGCGATGCTGTTGCTGCCGTTTCTTGATGTTGCTATTGATGTTACTTCTGCAGCCGTTTGTTGTGGCTGTTGCCGTTGTTTGTTGCTGTTGCTGCTAGTGATATCGTTTTTGTCGTTGTAGTTGGTGGTGGTGTGTGTGGGGGGTAGGGGGGTGGCAGCGTTGCAGCTGTTGTCACTGTTGTTGTAGTTGGTGGTGGTGTGTGTGGGGGGGAGGGGGTGGCAGTGGCGCTGCTGTTGCCTTTCTTACTGCTGTCGTTCCGGTGTTGCTGCTGTTTTTGTGTTCTTTTAAGTGTACCTGTTACTGTTGGTATCGTTGTGGTTGTTGTTCCTGTTACCATTGTCACTGATGTTGCCTTTGTTGCAGCTGTTGTTGTAGTTGGTGGTGGTGTGTGGGGGAGGGGGGTGGCAGGTTGCAGCTGTTGTCACTGTTGTTGTAGTTGGTGGTGGTGTGTGGGGGAGGGGGGTGGCAGTGTTGCAGCTGTTGTCACTGTTGTTGTAGTTGGTGGTGGTGTGTCGGGGGAGGGGGGTGGCAGGTTGCAGCTGTTGTCACTGTTGTTGTAGTTGGTGGTGGTGTGTGGGGGGAGGGGGGTGGCAGCGTTGCAGCTGTTGTCACTGTTGTTGTAGTTGGTGGTGGTGTGTGTGGGGGAGGGGGGTGGCAGCGTTGCAGCTGTTGTCACTGTTGTTGTAGTTGGTGGTGGTGTGTCGGGGGGAGGGGGTGGCAGTGTTGCAGCTGTTGTCACTGTTGTTGTAGTTGGTGGTGGTGTGTGGGGGGAGGGGGTGGCAGTGTTGCAGCTGTTGTCACTGTTGTTGTAGTTGGTGGTGGTGTGTGGGGGGAGGGGGGTGGCAGTCGTGTGCAGTTGTGTCACTGTTGTGTTGTAGTTGGTGTGTGTGTGTGTGGTGGTGGGGAGGGGGTGGTCAGTGTTGCAGCTGTTGTCACTGTTGTTGTAGTTGGTGGTGGTGTGTGGGGGGAGGGGGTGGCAGCGTTGCAGCTGTTGTCACTGTTGTTGTAGTTGGTGGTGGTGTGTGGGGGAGGGGGGGTGGCAGTGTTGCAGCTGTTGTCACTGTTGTTGTAGTTGGTGGTGGTGTGTGGGGGGAGGGGGGTGCAGCGTTGCAGCGTGTTGTCACTGTTGTTGTAGTTGTTGGTGGTGTGTGGGGGGAGGGGGGTGCAGCGTTGCAGCGTGTTGTCACTGTTGTTGTAGTTGGTGGTGGTGTGTGGGAGAGGGGGGTGGCAGTGTTGCAGTGTTGTCACTGTTGTTGTAGTTGGTGGTGGTGTGTCGGGGGAGGGGGGTGGCACTGTTGCAGGTGTTGTCACTGTTGTTGTAGTTGGTGGTGGTGTGTGGGGGAAGGGGGGTGCAGTGTTGCAGGTGTTGTCACTGTTGTTGTAGTTGTGGTGGTGTGTGGGGGGAGGGGGTAGCATGTTGCAGGTGTTGTCACTGTTGTTGTAGTTGGTGGTGGTGTGTGGGGGGAGGGGGGTGGCACTGTTGCAGGTGTTGTCACTGTTGTTGTAGTTGGTGGTGGTGTGTGGGGGGAGGGGGGTGGCAGTGTTGCAGGTGTTGTCACTGTTGTTGTAGTTGCAACTTTGAGGTAAGAGAAATTGATTTAGCTTAGTTCTTAGTGATGGTCTAAGCTATATAAAAAAACAAGCATGCAGATAACACAACAGTTAGACGCTACCGATAACAATATCTCAGTAGTTTTTCACACACACACACACACACACACACACACACACACACACACACACACACACACACACACACACACACACACACACACACACAACAGCAAGGAAAAGTTGGCGTTAATGACATCAGCTACTAGGAACAAACTTTCTCATGCCAACTGTAAACAATTAAGGCTTGGGGACGCCACAGCCATATTGTTGTTAGGAGAATATATTAAGATACTAATTACTCACTCACCATATATAATCACAATTATGGACCCTAATAATAGATTACCCTAATTGACCACATTCCTAAAGCTACTTAAATGCATACTGATGGAAATTATTAAGGTAACGAGCTGGGAATATTACATTACCCACACTAGGAACTGATAAGTGACTGATAAATGGTGAATTCTTCATCTGATAGACTTTTTTATATCTAGTTTTGATTAAAAAAGAAGCAAAAGTCTGCTCAATCTTGTAGCATCAAGTATCATGGTACAGGAGCTGAAACCTACACAGTGGTCATACGATAAGAGACATTAAAATATATGGCATCACTTTACTTTAGAAATAAACTATATTTCTCAGAATGTAGCGTCACTTTCTGACTCAAACATGTGTACCACCAAAAATGTCAATTTCGAAGCTATATATCAAACTTCAAACAATGTACACATGTCCTGTATTCCAATCTGGTCACGTAATTCTGCCGATCGATAGCTAATTAATCTGCAGTGTCTTTACGACAAAAAAAATCTACTTCTGGGTCCATTAAATATAAAAGTTCATCACTTGGATCATAAACTCCATGAACTTGTATCCACACTGACTATCACTACAAACTTTTCGCCTCACTGTATGAATTTCCTTTTAATACCAGTGAAAGTGTTCCAAATTTTTAATGCAAGAAGTATATTACTGTAAAAATTGTCAGCTAAAAGCTTACATAAAGACAAATATTTGTTTTATTACGTACTCTAAATAATTAAGTAATGTTTTTAAAATTCTTTCATATGTTTGAGACATTTACTTATTCCTAAGCCCTAAATTTTTTATTGTTAGTTACTTATTTACTCAAATCAGAATTAAAAGGTTTAACATCAAAATATAAGCATAAATATATTTCATTCGTTAATAAACGAAGTATATTACATTAATATATGGCATTATTTAGGATCTATATTACATGTTTATGGCAAGTCAAAACATTATCAAGAATTCCCTGACAAAGACTATGGAATAATGGTCGTGTTTGTCACACTCTTTTTCCTGGCATAAATTATCCAGGCAATCACTTGTGAATGCTTTTTGTGGTCGTATTCAGATTTTTATCACAGATATATCTTAGAGGAAGGTTTGGTTTCTTGCTGAGCTGTGCCGGTGCGAAATCTGTAAACCAAATTGTGATATAGGTTTCTGTGTTATACCTTGAGAATGCGTCTTCTGAACGGTTTCAAACTTTAAACACTGGTGAGCTATGCATGAATAAACCTTCGGATTGTTATTAGGCTGTCTAGTTATTTTAACAAATTAATTTTGAAAATTTGGGTGGTATTGTTTTTCACGGCATATTTTGAGAATGCCTGTCTTGAACACTTCAGACACAGTGTTGCCTCTAACCTAACTCAAGCTTCACATAACTTAAGCTGTATTCGCCTATTTGTGGTGACGGGTCGATTGGTAACTCCTGTAATTTTTTTAACATGTGCAAACAATAGTGATTTTTTTTGCATCTAAAGAATGCCTTTTCTGACCGGCTTCAAACTTTCAGTGAAGTTGTAATGGACTGTGTTTACTTCAGTTTGCCAGTTTTAATAAACGAATGAGGGTTTTGCTTCCTGTGTATGTTTCCCCATACCCCGGCGCCTAGCTACTGCTAGGCGTCCATATTTATCTGGGGTCTGGCTCCGTGGTAAAGTACTGTGGACTCTGAGAGTTTCCAGGTTCGAGTCCTGCTGTGGACGTAGAGACAATATTTGTAAATAATTTCGCCTATCTGCGTATTGTTAAGTGCGCGCGCGCGTACACACACACACACACACACATAGCTTTAAGCAGAGGTATGATAAAGCTCACGGTTCAGGGAGAGTGACCTAGTAGCGACCAGTGAAGAGGCGGGGCCAGGAGCTTGGACTCGACCCCTGCAACCTCAACTAGGTGAGTACAACTAGGTGAGTACACACACCACACACACACATATATACATATATATATATATATATATATATATATATATATATATATATATATATATATATATATATATTGCGCCACTTTCTGTAGATCCTGCGTATGAAAAACTAAATCTAATATAAATGAATATACTTGTTTTAATGAAGCTACAAGATTTACACGGGTTGTAACCGAAAAGAAACTCTTAATGTCAGCGCAATATATCAAGAGTAAAAAAGAGTACACCTGTGCAGTGTTCCACTAAAGTTGGGCAAGCAATTGTATCAAGTGATGCCTAATTAACCTGCAATATCTTAACAAAAAGTTTTCCACTTATGGGTTACATTAATTATCAAAGTTAATAATTTTGGCCATGAATCTGATAAAGTTGTAAGCACGCACACAATCACAAGAAAGTTTGCGACGCTTTGAAAACAGTTATTGATGCTGTTCTCCATTAAGTCAGGAAGAAAACCAAGGGGATGCAACAAGGGCTCCTGAACACAATACACTTCACTGGGAAAGAGGTGACGAAACTGTCGAGTGAAGTAGATGCATCAAAGGCAATAGGACCAGACAACGAGTCACTATACATCCTGAGAGAGAGTACAAGCACTCTGGCCAAAGGAAAGAGTAAATAAATTGGTTCCAAAGGAAGTATTTTCAATAATAGCCAATAAAAGACATGAGTTATAGAACAGACATAGCTTTAAATACTGACACATTATATGAAAAAAAAGGCCTTTACTGAAACAGTGTTTATCTCAGTGTGGAACTTTATCAACCCACAGCGAAGCATGGGTCCGGGAAAAAAAATTCCTGCATATCACATCTTTATATTTAAATTTGTTGTTATGAGAGAGTTTCACTCCGTGTAGAGCTGTGTTAACTTTATACAGATCTACTTCGAAGCAGTAAATTGCCAGACTAATGAAAAACTTAATAACTGTAGCCACAATATTTAAAAAATGGGACAGACAGGTAGCATTAAAATACCGGCCGGTATCCTTGACACGTATGTTATGTAAACTAACGGGAATAAACAGGAATGGCGGAATATCTAAACTCTAAATACACCAACTTGCCATGTCAGAGAAGAGCTTCCATACGTGGAGAGAAACGCTATCATAAACAAATACAGCACAGATTTAGAGATTGAACTTTCTCACAAATTAAGAGAAGTGGACGAGGGGAAGGAAAGGGAGAAGAAGGTGAAGGGTGGGAAGAGGGTGAGGGGTAACAAGAGGGTGAAAAGGCAAAAATACTAAAGTGTAATGAACACCGCGAAGTCTGGATTCGTATTGTATTTGGTGAGGCATCAAGCCTGTGTTTCAGCGTAAGGAATGGCTCCATCTTACGTCAGCTAATAAATGTTCTGTCGCTGGCAAGTCAGGATGTTTGGTCATCTGGAACAGTGTATAGCATAGCAGGAGTGTCACAATTAATTAAGACCAATACGGTGATTTTTCAGTGAAGTAAATTTTTTTTATAAATCTGCTAATCCACTAATTTGAAAAATTCGATGTAGTTGCAACTAATTAGAATATATTTTAGTGTATCCTGGACCTTTATGGAATTACGAGTGACGAACACGACGGACCGACGTCGCCTAGTCGTTTCCGTTACTAATTTGTGGATAAGTTTTGCAGTGTTCCAGCCGTTGTATTTTAGTGTTCCAGCTGCTGTATTGTTTGTCAGGAAACACAAGTGTCTCCTGAGGCGGGTCTTAGTCGGATGATGACACGCCGTTGGAGCTTTTGGTCATTTGACCAAGACCTTCCGCTGGCTTACCAGCCCACCCCTTTAAAAATTATGGTCATATAGTTTTAACCATTTCTGTGTATTGTGAATAAATTTCATTGTTCTTTATAGTAAGTCTCGGAGTGATTCTAAAGATGGCGGCCTCTTGGTTGCACCACAGGGCGAGCCGCTGCACACAGCCAGGGGTCGAGGGGTGCTGGCACAAGGCAGGAACCTAGTACTGCAGAAAGTGAGTCGACAAGCTCGAGGTCACTACCAGTGTCGAGTGAGCAACACCATCGACACGGTGACCAGCGAACCAGCCTCACTTGACGTCATGTGTGAGTAACCAAAAAAAAAATGCTGCAACTTTATTCTAAGAAATTATATACTTTTATCATCCACTAAGTAGCGTTTATATCTTATATGTCAATTTATCGTATATCGATATATCGTGTGTAAATATCATATAAATCAAGAAATATTGTTGTTGATGTCAGTTACATCAGAGAAAATTTTAATGGTAAACTATGTAAATATTTTTATGGTTTTGCATTATCCATCAATACTTAATTTTACGGTGGTGGTGATTTTACAGGTCTCTGATGTAGCGATAAATTGTCTGGGAGACTAAATATTAGCTGGATTTTACTTAGAGCCTTCGTGAAGACATCTGTTAATTGTACATAATATTTCTACGTATTCAAATTAATATAGTTAATTCTTTATTGTTCTGAGCCGTTCTTTGATTATTTATTTCTTTCATATGCCTATCGTAGCTGATTTTTCCCGTTTAACCGCGGCTTATCATAGATTTATTATATAACTTTATGATACAATAACTGAGATTTATTAAGAAATTTAGTAGCCGTGAATAACAACATATTAATACTTACCAAGAGATTTATGTCTCTCGTTTTATATAAACTGAGAAGTGTGTATTTCTCAGTGTATATACATCGGAAGGTTAATAATCAATGTTTAAGTGATAATAACATCCATGACTGGTGGTGTACAAATCACAAGAAGCTTTAATTTCAGGCGGTAGGCTTTAAACCTAAACTAGTGAAGAATTCCTGTTCTTGCCTTCCTCCACAGTCGCACCTGAGTGCCGTGGTCCCAAGAACCAGACAGTATCAGTCACAGCCTCGGAAGAAGTCAAACTTGAGTGTGTGGTGGAATCCAACCCAGCTCCGGTGAGTAGGTTTTGGTATGTGAAGGGTAGGCTGGTTGCCGACAACTCCGAGGCCTACAGTCACGTTTCACTTAGAACATGGCGCGAGTCAGTTCAAATGTCAGCAGGCCAGAGTCAGGTGTGCAACACATCGTTGGAGCTGAGAGAAGAAATCATGTGTCACTGCTGGTGACGAAAAACTAGAACATCTCTCACACCTTGTGACACTATCAAAGCTGAGTGTTTGATCACAATCTTTAGATAAGAACAGACGAACAGTGAAGTAAGCCTACTGACCCTAGCTCGGGAAGTCCTGCTTGCTGGTAATTATTTTTTACTTTTTTTTGTAGAAATGGCAAGGAGTCAGTAGGGAATGTGTGACTTTGTTTTATCAGTATCACAAACGTTCAGTAGGTTGTGCCAGAGTCAGAGCTTGCTACCACCTGCAGCTCACAAGGCTGCCATTCTCACGAGCTTCCCTGGGGCTGGGGAGATGGCAGACCAGAGGCCTAGCTTCTTCCTAGGAGCCCCGTGAGGGCGGGGAATGGGGCTAGGCCTGGGGACAGTTGGTCCCAGAAGATAAGGCGGTACTTGTACCTCCTCCCATGGCAAACATAGGTCTCAGACACTCCCAAGACTGGGAGCCGAGGCCGGGAAAGTACCGCCGAATCAAGAAGAACCTGGTTGTGCCATGGAGGTTTTTATATTTTGGCCTATAGATAAAAAAAAATTGTGACCAAACGTAACTTAACAAAACTCAACTTATTCAAACCAGAGACCAAAAGTAATTCTATTTAAATTAAGTTGGGTTATTTTAGATTTGGTTACTTAAAAAAAATAAGTTTTGTTTAAAATATAAATAACTATTGCATAATCCATTAACTGTTTTGATAATTTATTTATCAAAAGTCCATAGTGACTCATTCTCTCTTTCTCATCCCTCTCTTCCTAAGACTGACTTCCTGTGGCGGGTCAACAGCACACGGGGTATTCAGGAGCTAGAGCCTTCCTCCTACAGCGTCCGTGGTCGTAGCAGCACCTTGGTGTACCGCCCCGACGACCACGAACACGACCAAGACCAGTACGGAGTCGTCTTCTGTCAAGGCAAGAACAGACTTGGCACCCAGGAGACACCCTGCATGTTCCTCATCACTCCAGCAGGTCAGCAGTCAACACTTACCTTACTTATTATTTTTAATTATTATTATTTATTATATTATCAAACACTATTTAAAGCCTCACTGAAGCTTCATACAACTCGAAGTGGACTTAACATAGCGTAAACAAAATAGACCAATGTGTCTTTTTACCCAAATAAAATAGCCAGTTGAATCTTCTGCTTCATTTTCACCATGTGAGATCGTTGATCTTAAAATGAAAATTATTAATATGCTAATATATCAAGCGCAAAACTATATAATGTAAAAACGTTCAAGGTGAATTTTTTAAACTAGTTAAATTATAAATGCACATATTTTTTTTTCATATTATTTTAACGCTGGAGCTTCAAAGAGACGAAATGTTGAATAGACATTTTAATTAGCCACTAAAGTTTCTCGGGGGGAGGGGGTAAAAAAATCCCTTTAAAGACTGAAGTGCAGGAGTCTCAGGTAAAAAAAAGAGGGGGGGGGGATTTAATTTGGCAGTTGGTGTTGTATGTGCGTGTGTGTGTAACGATGCTTGAGAATTGTTATGAGTGAGCGAGCGAGTGTTGGTCATTAATGGGGAGAGTGAGCGAGCGAGTGTTGGTCATTAATAGGGAGAGTGAGCGAGCGAGTGTTGGTCATTAATAGGGAGAGTGAGCGAGCGAGTGTTGGTCATTAATAGGGAGAGTGAGCAAGCGAGTGTTGGTCATTAATAGGGAGAGTGAGCGAGCGAGTGTTGGTCATTAATAGGGAGAGTGAGCGAGCGAGTGTTGGTCATTAATAGGGAGAGTGAGCGAGCGAGTGTTGGTCATTAATAGGGAGAGTGAGCGAGCGAGTGGTTGGTCATTAATAGGTAGAGTGAGCGAGCGAGTGTTGGTCATTAATAGGGAGAGTGAGCGAGCGAGTGTTGGTCATTAATAGGGAGAGTGAGCGAGCGAGTGTTGGTCATTAATAGGGAGAGTGAGCGAGCGAGTGATGGTCATTAATGGGGAGAGTGAGCGAGCGAGTGTTGGTCATTAATAGGGAGAGTGAGCGAGCGAGTGTTGGTCATTAATAGGGAGAGTGAGCGAGCGAGTGTTGGTCATTAAGGGAGAGTGAGCGAGCGAGTGTTTGGTCATTAATAGGGAGAGTGAGCGAGCGAGTGTTGGTCATTAATAGGTAGAGTGAGCGAGCGAGTGTTGGTCATTAATGGGGAGAGTGAGCGAGCGAGTGTTGGTCATTAATGGGGAGAGTGAGCGAGCGAGTGTTGGTCATTAATAGGGAGAGTGAGCGAGCGAGTGATGGTCATTAATGGGGAGAGTGAGCGAGCGAGTGTTGGTCATTAATAGGGAGAGTGAGCGAGCGAGTGTTGGTCATTAATAGGGAGAGTGAGCGAGCGAGTGTTGGTCATTAATAGGGAGAGTGAGCGAGCGAGTGATGGTCATTAATGGGGAGAGTGAGCGAGCGAGTGTTGGTCATTAATAGGAGAGGTGAGCGAGCGAGTGTTGGTCATTAATAGGGAGAGTGAGCGAGCGAGTGTTGGTCATTAATGGGGAGAGTGAGCGAGCGAGTGTTGGTCATTAATAGGGAGAGTGAGCGAGCGAGTGATGGTCATTAATGGGGAGAGTGAGCGAGCGAGTGTTGGTCATTAATAGGGAGAGTGAGCGAGCGAGTGTTGGTCATTAATAGGGAGAGTGAGCGAGCGAGTGTTGGTCATTAATAGGGAGAGTGAACGAGCGAGTGTTGGTCATTAATAGGGAGAGTGAGCGAGCGAGTGTTGGTCATAATAGGGAGAGTGAGCGAGCGAGTGTTGGTCATTAATAGGAGAGTGAACGAGCGAGTGTTGGTCATTAATAGGGAGAGTGAGCGAGCGAGTGTTGGTCATTAATAGGGAGAGTGAACGAGCGAGTGTTGGTCATTAATAGGTAGAGTGAGCGAGCGAGTGTTGGTCATTAATAGGGAGAGTGAGCGAGCGAGTGTTGGTCATTAATAGGGAGAGTGAACGAGCGAGTGTTGGTCATTAATAGAGAGAGTGAGCGAGCGAGTGTTGGTCATTAATAGGGAGAGTGAGCGAGCGAGTGTTGGTCATTAATAGGGAGAGTGAGCGAGCGAGTGTTGGTCATTAATAGGGAGAGTGAGCGAGCGAGTGTTGGTCATTAATAGGGAGAGTGAGCGAGCGAGTGTTGGTCATTAATGGGGAGAGTGAGCGAGCGAGTGTTGGTCATTAATAGGGAGTGAGCGAGCGAGTGTTGGTCATTAATAGGGAGAGTGAGCGAGCGAGTGTTGGTCATTAATAGGGAGAGTGAGCGAGCGAGTGTTGGTCATTAATAGAGAGAGTGAGCGAGCGAGTGTTGGTCATTAATAGGGAGAGTGAGCGAGCAAGTGATGGTCATTAATAGGGAGAGTGAGCGAGCGAGTGTTGGTCATTAATAGGGAGAGTGAGCGAGCGAGTGTTGGTCATTAATGGGGAGTGAGCGAGCGAGTGTTGGTCATTAATAGGGAGAGTGAGCGAGCGAGTGTTGGTCATTAATAGGGAGAGTGAGCGAGCGAGTGTTGGTCATTAATAGGGAGAGTGAACGAGCGAGTGTTGGTCATTAATAGGGAGAGTGAGCGAGCGAGTGTTGGTCATTAATAGGGAGAGTGAGCGAACGAGTGATGGTCATTAATAGGGAGAGTGAGCGAGCGAGTGTTGGTCATTAATAGGGAGAGTGAGCGAGCGAGTGTTGGTCATTAATAGGGAGAGTGAGCGAGCGAGTGTTGGTCATTAATAGGGAGAGTGAGCGAGCGAGTGTTGGTCATTAATAGGGAGAGTGAACGAGTGAGTGATGGTCATTAATAGGGAGAGTGAGCGAGCGAGTGTTGGTCATTAATAGGGAGAGTGAGCGAGCGAGTGTTGGTTCATTAATAGGGAGAGTGAGCGAGCAAGTGATGGTCATTAATAGGGAGAGTGAGCGAGCGAGTGTTGGTCATTAATAGGGAGAGTGAGCGAGCGAGTGTTGGTCATTAATAGGGAGATTGAGCGAGCGAGTGTTGGTCATTAATGGGGAGAGTGAGCGAGCGAGTGTTGGTCATTAATAGGGAGAGTGAGCGAGCGAGTGTTGGTCATTAATGGGAGAGTGAGCGAGCGAGTGTTGGTCATTAATAGGGAGAGTGAGCGAGCGAGTGTTGGTCATTAATAGGGAGAGTGAGCGAGCGAGTGTTGGTCATTAATAGGGAGAGTGAGCGAGCGAGTGATGGTCATTAATGGGGAGAGTGAGCAAGCGAGTGTTGGTCATTAATAGGGAGAGTGAGCGAGCGAGTGTTGATCATTAATAGGGAGAGTGAGCGAGGAGTGTTGGTCATTAATAGGAGAGTGAGCGAGCGAGTGTTGGTCATTAATAGGGAGAGTGAACGAGCGAGTGTTGGTCATTAATAGGGAGAGTGAGCGAGCGAGTGTTGGTCATTAATAGGGAGAGTGAGCGAGCGAGTGTTGGTCATTAATGGGGAGAGTGAGCGAGCGAGTGTTGGTCATTAATAGGGAGAGTGAGCGAGCGAGTGTTGGTCATTAATAGGGAGATTGAGCGAGCGAGTGTTGGTCATTAATGGGGAGAGTGAGCGAGCGAGTGTTTGGTCATTAATAGGGAGAGTGAGCGAGCGAGTGATGGTCATTAATGGGGAGAGTGAGCGAGCGAGTGTTGGTCATTAATAGGAGAGTGAGCGAGCGAGTGTTGATCATTAATAGGGAGATGGAAGCGAGCGAGTGTTGGTCATTAATGGGGAGAGTGAACGAGTGAGTGTTGGTCATTAATAGGGAGAGTGAGCGAGCGAGTGTTGGTCATTAATAGGGAGAGTGAACGAGCGAGTGTTGGTCATTAATGGGGAGAGTGGAGCGAGCGAGTGTTGGTCATTAATAGGGAGAGTGAGCGAGCGAGTGTTGGTCATTAATAGGGAGAGTGAGCGAGCGAGTGTTGGTCATTAATAGGGAGAGTGAACGAGCGAGTGTTGGTCATTAATAGGGAGAGTGAGCGAGCGAGTGTTGGTCATTAATAGGGAGAGTGAACGAGCGAGTGTTGGTCATTAATAGGTAGAGTGAGCGAGCGAGTGTTGGTCATTAATAGGGAGAGTGAGCGAGCGAGTGTTGGTCATTAATAGGAGAGTGAACGAGCGAGTGTTGGTCATTAATAGAGAGAGTGAGCGAGCGAGTGTTGGTCATTAATAGGGAGAGTGAGCGAGCGAGTGTTGGTCATTAATAGGGAGAGTGAGCGAGCGAGTGTTGGTCATTAATAGGGAGAGTGAGTGAGCGAGTGTTGGTCATTAATAGGGAGAGTGAGCGAGCGAGTGTTGTCATTAATGGGGAGAGTGAGCGAGCGAGTGTTGGTCATTAATAGGGAGTGAGCGAGCGAGTGTTGGTCATTAATAGGGAGAGTGAGCGAGCGAGTGTTGGTCATTAATAGGGAGAGTGAGCGAGCGAGTGTTGGTCATTAATAGAGAGAGTGAGCGAGCGAGTGTTGGTCATTAATAGGGAGAGTGAGCGAGCAAGTGATGGTCATTAATAGGGAGAGTGAGCGAGCGAGTGTTGGTCATTAATAGGGAGAGTGAGCGAGCGAGTGTTGGTCATTAATAGGGAGATTGAGCGAGCGAGTGTTGGTCATTAATGGGGAGTGAGCGAGCGAGTGTTGGTCATTAATAGGGAGAGTGAGCGAGCGAGTGTTGGTCATTAATAGGGAGAGTGAGCGAGCGAGTGTTGGTCATTAATAGGGAGAGTGAACGAGCGAGTGTTGGTCATTAATAGGGAGAGTGAGCGAGCGAGTGTTGGTCATTAATAGGGAGAGTGAGCGAACGAGTGATGGTCATTAATAGGGAGAGTGAGCGAGCGAGTGTTGGTCATTAATAGGAGAGAGTGAGCGAGCGAGTGTTGGTCATTAATAGGGAGAGTGAGCGAGCGAGTGTTGGTCATTAATAGGGAGAGTGAGCGAGCGAGTGTTGGTCATTAATAGGGAGAGTGAACGAGTGAGTGATGGTCATTAATAGGGAGAGTGAGCGAGCGAGTGTTGGTCA